AAAAATCCCCGCGGGGGGATTTAAAAAACCCTTTTGGTTTTCACGTAGGAGGGCATTTTTCACCCGGGTTAGGGGGGGGGGGGCGGGGTCCAGTAGGTGCGTTATCTCAACTTGTATTTCTTCTTTGTGTTACTTTGTTTGAAGAAGGCTTGAAACTGGTATCGACCGCGCACTTTGGCCGACCAATTGAAGAGACGCCAGAGAGTCAAACCGACACGCATGCCGAACTTTCGCGTTGTTGGAGGGAGCCCTACAACGTAGTCGAAGAGTTACGCTACAAACTCAGTTATTTAGTTGTCATCGCCCAACGAAAACCAACAAGACCACCGCCAATAAGAAGGAGAGCGATTGCTTCAATGTTTTTGGGGGAACCTGGGGTCCTAAGAACCAGAACGCCTGACTCCAACGCCGGCGGGAAAAGTCCCTGTGACCAGAGTCATATCACCAAAAAGTCCCCCCAGTTCCGGATGAAGGTGCATGCTTCCATGATTTCGACGGTCGATGGCTGTCCGCCTTCTTCGCCCCTTTCGCATCACTTCTTTCCCACCACCTCTCTCTCTCTCTCTACTCTCTTTCTCTCTTGAGTCGCCTCCACCAACATCCTGTCTGTACTGTGTCCACGTCGATCTGCACGTGCCCCAACTTTTGCCATGGTCGTCGCTCGTCGTACCTCTCCATCGACAGCCGTGTTCTAGCCCGAACACTAAAACACTTTTTCTGCAGAGGAAGAGTAAAAAAACCCTTGAAATGAAACATCCACAAGTAAGTACGAGAGAATCATGGAACTCGTAGCGATTCAAGCGTTTTGTTTCTCGACGGCATGAAACCCGACCACTGACGAATGTTACAACACTACCACAGCAGGGAACCATGTACATACCACACCATGAACGCCAAAACAACGGACGTAAACACACACGCAGCAGGCAAGGATCGGGTCCAAACGAAAAAACCTTTGCATGGACGCGAAACACGGACACTCTCGGATTTCAACATCGGTCTTCTCCCTATTTTATGGAACAAAAACGACGGGGAGGTGGGGGGGGCAGACAGACACGCCAACACCTGTGCAAAACCGGGATGACACATATAGCACTACTGTCGGGGGAAGGAAACTATGCCAGATCCATTCGTGTGTCGGTCGACACGAAAGATCGGTCGACACGAAAGATCGGTCGACACGAAAGATCGGCTTCATTGAATACTCATCCCATGCACTTACTGCTTGAATTCCGTCAAAGGTTTCCAAGTAAAGATATATGATAGCCTCACAACACAAAAACACAATCGCGGGGGAAACTTGCACATCATACAACGCCACACCGCAGTTTCGAACTGGCGACTTCGTTCAGAAAACACGGGTTATACATAGGTTACGATGTAAATTTCTTTTTCTTCGTCCTACAAATATACTTAAAAATTGAATCTTAATATGATACTTAAAACGTGGCAGGATACCTTCTTGTCACGGTTTATGTATTACTTCCGCCTTGGGCAAACCGTTTCGACCTTTTCCGCAATCGTTCCTCAAGGGAAAGAAGCTTGGAATCCCCGCGGTTGTGGGCTAATCTCCAGAAAAACCGCAACAACAAAAGGTCAAAGAGGCTATCATCACTGGCAATAACACAACCTACATACATACCCCGGAGGAAAAATTAAAGGAACATGTACGTCGGTCGCCAAAGAAAATAAAAAAAGGCCTCAAGGCTGGAAAACCAGGGAGGCGTCGGTTACGGCCCGACCCCCGTCGCCAGCCCCGAAACGTTCTTCGACCCTCCACTTCTCCGAGCGGGGATCGAACACTTCGACGGTCCTGTTGTGAAAAAAGAAGGGAAAAGAAAACAGGACAAAAACGTCATCCTAAACCGTCATGCACTGTTCCGAAAAGAACATGGTTGAAGTTTGAGAATCAGAGAAAAAGAGAGGAAGCAGAGAGAGCAAAAAGAGACAGCCGAGACAATCAAGCGAAAACGAGTGTGAGACCTGACGATCAAATGTCAAAATGCAAAACACCAAAGACGACAAACAAACGCAAAGATTATACCAATCGACACAGCAGTCGAAACAGCAGTGTAACGGGGGGAGTGCTGTTCTTGTACGAGCGACAGCTCTTTCTTGGTATTTTCCACCTATTTAGCCTGCTGGGCAAAAAAAATCCTCAACACGTTCCGCGCACATAACACGTCCCTCATCTAGCAATCCAGACATGCGCGGGAGCACCGGTAGTTCGGGGGCACCAGGGTACCGGGAGGCGGGGGGGTGTCCTCATGGTCGTGCATGCCGTAGTCGTTAGACCATTGACCTCGCATCCCCACAAAGCCGGGACGGAGCACGCCGCGTTCTAACTAGGCTCACAAGCGCGAATCGCCGTGAGGTATTCGGCGAGTCGCATGAAGGGTGCGCTGTTATCCTGCTAAGGGTGTTCGGCATCTTGTGCTTAACTTCCTTGCGTACAGATGGCAGCTGCGAATGACTTAAGTTTATTTTCTGGTGCGGGGGGGGGGGGGGGGGGGGGGG